ATTTTTGCAATGAAGATTGCTCTCTGTAGGTACATGACATTAGAAAAGGGGAGAAAATAAAATTTTTGCAATGAAGATTGCTCTCTGTAGGTACATGACATTAGAAAAGGAAAAAAAACTTTTTTTTGCAATGAAAACTGTTCTGCGCATGCGCAGAACTGAAAATCAAGATGGCGCCGCCACCAATAGAACCGGTGGCAGACTGAGTGACTACCTACTCGGCCGAACCGGTCCAAATTGGTAGGAATCCACCTCTGGCCTTAACCCTGATTTGCTCCAAAGGTGGAGGAGGAGATTGATATGATGGGGAGAGCTTGAAGGAGGCTTGTCTTAGGGCCAAGCTAAACCTCTTCACTCTGGTGTTTCCCTCGCCCAAAAAGTGCTTTTGTGCTTTTATTTTTTAAAGCCAGATTGTCAATAAGGGGAGAATTCACGTGGGGAAAATAATAATAAATAAGTAAGACTTTTAGACACGCTCCTTTCCAACTTCTCGGAGAATATCGCCCGCCCCATCTATACACACGACCCCTCCCCAGGACAAAAAAAAATCTAGAAATTGGCTATCCCTGATTTCACTAAACCCTGATTGTAAAAAAAAAGCAGGCAACACAAGCGGAACTCTTAGCCTGCTCAGGAACCATTGCACATCTGTCGGAATCGGACCGGGGTGGGGTGGGGGTTGCTGATGGTCTCGGGGGTGAGGTCAGCGGGAGTGGGGACAAGGGCATGGGGAGGTTGGGTCAAGGACCGGAACCAGAGGCCTTTGAGGCGTCCATTGGCGGACCCTCTTCAGAAATAGAACTGCGGAGACCATGAGCTAACGCCGGAAGGGTTCTCAGGCTAAATTGGGCGACGGGTCAAGCTTGGAAATATTGGACACAATATTGTGTTGAGCCGTGACTTCTGGGTTAGGGTGGCAGGCAGGAGGTCCCCTCAGCTCTTCCTAGAGATCTGGGGAGCCCAAGCTGAGACTTTTATCAGGAAGGGAAGGGAGGGGAAAGGAAGTAAAGGAAGAAGAGATGAAGGGAAGGGAAGGAAGAAGAGATGAAGGGAAGGAAGGAAAGGAAGAAGAGATGGAGGGAAGGGAAGGAAAGGAAAGGAAAGGAAAGGAAGAAGAGATGGAGGGAAGGGAGGGAAAGAG